TCTCCCTAGTATAAGAACTCAAAAGAAGAATTACAAATACAAAAGTATAATACAAGTAAAAGGAAAGCAGGATCTCGAGGACTTACTAATGAAGAGAGGGAAAGGAGAAGAGCTAGGAAACATGACAATATGTGATGTTTCTTGACTAAGTTTCATGGTGCCCCGGTTCACACTGTGCCTGCCATATATAGTCGAATGGAAACCTGCATGAATCACACCTCGCCTGCACTTGTGTGACTCAGAAAGTAAAATACAGTAATTACCAATTATAATATTTCAATTTGCCTTCCTGTGTGAGCCTATAAACAAAGGAGCTTAATATATTAAGCAGATATATGCTTTCTTATTTAACTACTAAACAGGCTTGCTGTATTTGATAAAACCATTTAGTAAGTCAAAATATACAAAAATAACTTGTTACTTATATACGTGAACTATATTATATATTTTATATGTTAGCTGTGGCCCTAAACAATATTTTTTTCACTCAGTGTGGTCCAGATAAGCCGAAAAGTTGGATGCCCGTGCTCTGAAGCAACCCAATTTGGGCACTAAATGACAAGGTCACCCTAAGACAGGAATGTCTCAACATAAATGCTACCACGTTCAATACCCCCTCAAATCTAACTCAATGTTTATGAAAATCTGAAAGGGAATGATGAGTAGAAATATTATATGCTGTGTCTATGAAGACAAGTGAAGCTATGGGGACACTGGGTATATACTAAAGCTCATGAACTTTTTTTTTGTATTTAAGACAGTGTACAGGGTCTCATTGCATAGATTGGACTCATTGTGATCTGCATGTTTACAGCCTCCCAAGAGCTGGGATTATAGGCACACACCAGCAAACCCAATGTCAATTGCCTTCTCAGCATGCCCCGGGGGCAGGGCCGGCAGGGTAGGCTGGTGGTGGAACGCCCAGCCCCTGCATCTGCCTAAGCAGGTGCTTTAATCCTCTGAGCTGTTTGGCCAGCCCAAGCTCATGAACATGTGAAGCCAATTTAGATAGTCCAGGTTGGGGAAAATATCTTCATTGATAATGAGGCAGCTCATTGCCACATGCCATTTAGATAGATGATCCCCAGAACCTCAGATGAGTTTATTACTGCAAATAATCATTACGTTTCTCATGGGGAGTCTGTACACTTATATCACACATCTTAATTCCCTTTCATTCCCTTATCTCTCCTCCGTCCCTCTTCCATCTCTTGATCCCCTTCCCATTTGAGCCACTTGTTTTGATGTCTTTGAGGAATAAAATGGAACCATCTATATATAGCTTTAGAGGAGCACAGGGAACTTGCAACACTTACTCATAGTCATCCAGATTGTCCTCTTCTTCAGATGAACTTGAATCAGGGAACCCCCTTTAGAAGTGTTGAGAAAGAGCATGAATGCGAAAACTTAGCAAACAACAATCCATGTCATTAGTAGCACAGTATCAAATTCCACCCTTTTTTTATATTTCAACTGGTGAGCTTTTCTTTTTGTAATTGGAAAAGTATCAGCAAAATGAAGCAAGAGCTACTCAAAAGGGGCACTTGCACCCAACTTCACAAGACAACAGCTCTTCAATGCAGCCAACCCCTGGCAACTCAGAGTTTTTGATCCTTTCAGAAGAGAAGGCCATGAAATACATGAAGATTCTTTTACAGTTGGCTGACTTATAAAGGTGAAAGTAATTGGGCTGTGTACAGAGGTACTCAGAGGGAAGAATTACTCATTTCCAGGTTGCTTTCCCCCACTAGGGACCCTCAGCCGGCTATGTTAATGTCCATGCTATCACCAGAGTGTGTTGCAGGTGACTACTATGAGAGATCAGTGTGACGAAAATGGTAACCATAACCACAAACCATCAAATCAGGATGATCGAAGGACTCAGAGAAATAAACTACATGGACATGTTCTTGGCTGATATTTTACCTTAAATATAAAGCATAGTTGCAACATGATTGCAGATTTGGTGGCTTTCCTGCAAATGGAAGTAAATCCTGGATATAGAGAAGTATTTGCATTTGATTTACCATGAAATCTTTGAAGTGCTGTGATCTACAGTATTTCTTTCCATTTGGTTGCCGCATGTAACATCTTCACTGCTGCAAACAAAAAGATATTTTATACACTTACAATTTTATGTTTAAAAATGTTAAAGGCCAAGAGTAATTTTGTCCAAATACATTTTAGCATAGTTTGACACATAGACCCACACATTTAACTTGGTTTGGAAATTTAAGCTAATGAGTTACTTGAACATTCTGGTATTTTCAGAGACCTCAATAAAAAGCAGTAGCTCTGCAACATTTCTAAGCAAAAGGTAATTGCTAATTATAGTGCATAATAACCCCAAACAATAAAAAACTGGCATTAAGAAATCATCTCGACTAGTTTTGTTCTGACTTTCTAACAGATATATAAGCATTTCTGTCACTTATTAATTTTAAGATCAATTATTTTTCTCTTCATTGTGATTGCAATAAAAAGTCTTGAAAATACTACACTTTAGCTCTATCTGCACATAGATGGATCGGTAGGATTCTCATGATCCTTTGTTACTCACCGTTTTCTCTCTCATTTTGGATGTGAAGAGCGTGAGGAAATGCCTAGCTCCCCAAGTCCAAAGGCTGTTTTATTTGAAATGTAGAACCTACTTCTTATCTGCCTTCATGTCAGGATCCTTTTCAAAACCATGGTTGATAAGAATGAGCTGGGTTGGCAAGGAAGTGCTTCTTTGGCTCCATTTCAAGGAATGCCCAGAGAAAGTAGTTAAATACCAGGCTGCTTCCCTTGTCAACTTCCCAAAGAACACTGCCCACCAGAAGAGCCTTTAGGCTTCGTTTCTAGGAAACTTTCTGTTTTGAAAGGCCATGCAATTCATTGAGCCTTCCTGTGGTCAAGAACTCATGGAGAGTGGCAATTAGTAGTACATCATTTCGGTTTACCCATACAATGGAATACTCCATAGATATTAAACATAAATGAGCAGGTTGCCCAGCGATGTGAAGGTACTTAAGACTATTAAGTGGACTCAACAGTACGCTTAAAGGCTGGTAAATTTTATATTATGTGTATTTTACTACAATTAAAATTAAAAATAAGTTATATTCTCATGTTTTTAAATGGGAAAGATGTCAAATGAGAAGAATAAGGGGTAAAGAAGACCATGTAGCAAGACTCTGCTTTTAATTATCCATGTGTAAGATAGAACATGTATGGAAAAAATTAGAGGAATAGACACAGAATATTGTGCAATATTTAAATTCTTTAGTAGGAGCATGTATTATTTGGCTAATCAGAAAAAGATTAAAAATCAGCTCACATGAGGATACTAAGAATGAAAGAAGTGAATTAGCTGAAGTTTCATCTAAGAATCATGGGTGCATTTTAAAAATTCAAGCTCCAATCTTGCATACCTATATCTATCAACCTGAACAACAGAGTCAATGCTGAAAATATGTAATATGACAACAATTGTTAAATTTTCATTCTTGTTTTGAAAGTCTGTGTTATATGTATTGTTGTTTGTTATTCTGTTTCTGTCTTTGTTTTGTGTGTTGTTTTTGCTCTCTAAAATAAAATTAAACATATCCCATGAGGGAATATGCACAGAAATAATTTAAAAGACTTTACTTATATATAAACTTTTATAATTTGAAGTGTAATTGAGTTTATAAGAACTAAGGGGAAGATAGCTCAGTAGGATAAGCACTTCTCTGGCAAGTGCAAGGGCCTGAGTTCAATCCCCGGTTCTACCACAAAAAAAGAAAGAAAGAATGAATTAACAAAAAAGAATTGACTTAACTCAAATTTCAAAAAGGCATTTGTGAAGAGAAAGAATAAACAATAAATCTATATAACATAAATATTTACCTTTTGGGCTTAAATAAATATGATTATATCCTTTTCAAAAATATTCAAGCTTCCTGCAGACCTTTTAGCAGTGTTCCTTTTTAAAAATTTAATTTAACTTTAGTTTGAAGAGTCAAAACAGAAGCAAAAAGAAATAGAAAAAAGACAGAAACAGGGTAACATACAACAATACGTATGTTGTGGATTTTCAAAACAGGAATAGCTAATTAACAAAGGTTGTTATATCATCTATTTTTTATCATCAAATCTGTTGCTCAGATTAACAGATATAGTTATGCAAGATTGGGGAGATAATTGAATATTGGTGCTTATGTTCAAGAAATCTATTCATTCCCAGATGTAATGTTGCTCATGCCAAGAAATTACTGATCAATTTTTTGTGCAAATAACTAGCCTTCTGAAGTCCTAGTGCAAAATTCACTGTTGGTTCTAAACCAAAAGATTATGAAATCTAAGAGTGTATCAAAAACTTAGGAATCTCTTTTAGATTTTTTAAAAATTAAAGTTAGTGCCACAAACTCTGAAAAACAAAGCACCTACATTTGAAATATAGGGCCTGGCAATCCATGAATCAATACCTCTGGAACAATCTCATACAAATCCTCAATTCTTCCCAGTTATTGGAAATCTGACCAGTCATTTTCATCATGCACTTCCCTCAGTAAATCACTGATCTTTCTGTCAGGGAAAGAAGCTGGTACAAAGTTAACATGACATTCATTCTCTTTAGAGCTGGGATTTTTTTGACTTGCTTCTTCTATATAAATGCTGAGCTTGAAGCAAAAAGATGTAACCTTCTGCATGCACCAGGTATAGAATAATATGCTTGGAGTCTAGTTCCACTTTGGACTTACAAAGACCACCAGTTGTTATATTAAAAAATGCAGAAGGATGCACTTACATTCTTTCAAGATCCAAATGGCCCTGTGGCTGTATCATTGATACAGTGAGGCATTTGCTTTAAGCGAAAATATTGAGGATGCAAAGAATAAAAGAATAAGAGGATGAGGGAGAAAGCAAAGAAAAGAGATATACGATGAAGGCAAGTCACTGGACCATTCCACAAGATCATTGTACAATGTGGTTTAACAACCATTAGGCATTGAACATGGGGAGACTCAGGGCTAGATCCTGGAGACATAGACAGTCTGTGTGCTGCCATCAAAATGTTTTCAAGTCTTTAGGCGGACAAACTTGAAAACCAAGTGGCAAGTAGGCTAACTGCAACTAATGCCAGATGAAGGCTACACTTTAAGGATTCTATGCTCTGCAATGTGTGGTTATTTGGAGTAAGTGGGAACAGAAAAAGGAAGGAATAAAATGCCTAAATTTCACTTAACATTGGATAGGGAAATCGAAATGGAACGCCTGTGCTGCTCAGCCCCTGCAGAATCCCTCCTGCCCCCAGCCAATCTCTGGCTGAATCCCTGATCGTTTGCAGAGAGGACAGCCCTTTCTCAGCACAGGTCAGCCTCAGCAGCTCTGAGGCTGAGGACCAGGGGAGTCAGGGTAACATCTGATCTATGTGCCAGGTGGCCTGTCTGAAAGCTGGGATTACCTTTTCAGTTTCCTTACTTGCCACCAGTCAGGACAGTCTTCCCTTGGAATATACTGCATGGTGACACTTGGCTGGGAACCATAGCTTTTCTGTGAGTTGCTGTCATACTGGGGTACAGTAGTACTTGAAGATGGTGCATCCATTCTGAAAATAGGAGCTGGTCGAGGAATCTTCAGCTTTGGAGGACAAGACATTTTCATGTATTACAGTTTGGCACAGATTCAGGAACTAGTTACTAAAGTGTATCAGCTCTTACATTCTGAGGAAGGAGGACAGGCATCAGCCAGGAAAGAGGAAGGAAGGAGTGGAGGGAGGAAGGGCGAGAAGGAAGGAGAAGCAGGGAGGAAAGGAAGAAAGAAGGCAGGCAGAGTAGCAATACCAAGTATAGGCAAGGATATAGAGCAAGTATAACTCCTACTTCTGTTGGCTGGAGTATGAAATGGTAACCATATTGAAAACTTGTCTGTACAATGTGCTAGAGTTGTGTGGTATGCATAAACCATATGACTCAGAAATTATATGTCTTCATGGATATGAAAAATTATGGTAAATGTTGCTGCTGAATGTTATCCAACAGAAAGGCAGATTTGTGAAAACATTGCAGTGTGTCCACCTTATTCACCAGATCTCATACTGTGTGACTTCTGGCTTTTCCCCAAAGTCAAAATGACTGTGAAAGGTAAAAGGTGTGAAATAATTCAGAACACACATGCAGCTAAGGCAGAGCAACTAAAAGCATAATAGAGGGCTTCCAGGACTGCTTCAGAAAGTAGCAAGAATGATGGGATATGTGTTTGAAATGATGAGAGGTATCTTGAGGGGGACTAATGGCAATGTGTCTTTTACTACAGTAATTGTGTTTTAAATTTTAGCATTCACTGTACTTTTTAATCAAACTTTGTACATATATGCACATCCCTAACAGTGAAGCCGAAAGAGTGTGCTGTGAACTAAAAATTGGAAACTACCATCAGGAGGACAAAACAATACCTGCATTGTGATGGCAGTAGACTGAGTAATGCCCTCGCAAAGATGTTCATGTCTGAATCCCCAGAATTTGCAGATTGTGCCTGAGGAATTTGAGATGAGGAGATTACTCTGCACTACAGAGTTGGGTTTGGTATAACCTTAAAGGGCCCTTTTAAAAGAGAGGCAAGATGGTCAGGAATTAGAGAGAAGATGTGAAGATGAAAGCAGAGATCCAATAAAAGAGACGCTAACTACACATCTCATCCTGAGTATGGATGGCAGAACAAGGTGCCAATGACTGAAGGTAGCTCTCAGAAGCTAGAAAAGCTAAGGAAGTAAGTTCTCTAAAGCCCCTGAAAGAACATAGCTGTGTTGACCTATTTTAGACTTTCAAAACTATAAGAGAACAAGTTTGTGTTGCTTTAATCTTTTAAATTTTTTGTAATTTGTTAGAGTGTCAATAAGGAAATAATACCATGCTATCTTCATGCAGTGGAAATGTATAAGCAACAAAAGTAAATTAAAAATTATGAGCCATACATTGAACAAAAGAGGAAAATAACTATTTATATAAAGGCCCAAATCTATGATGTTGTAGGTTAGGCTAGCTATTACTGCCACTGGGATGTAGTGATCAAAAGGGAACAGGAGAAGATCCCTGCGGTTCTATGCCCTTCTATTTCTCAATGTGGATGTCTTTTAGACAGATATGTTCAGTTTGTAAAAATTCTTGAAGCTGAATTCTCAGGATTTGTATTATACATCATTGAAAATGTATCATGAAGGGG